AGTAAGGCATCCATGGATCTTGCCTAAACCCAGACTAGTGCCAGATCACTGGAGAAACCCCAGCTTGGCCTGTGTTTGGGCTTTGGGCTGGTGGACCTGGGAAGGGGGTTGTTTTGTCCCTGTCTTTACTCTGATGCCTGCCCTGTCCCTCTCCATGCAGTGCAAGATGTCTCTGAACGGGCAGCGTGGCGAGTGCTGGTGCGTGGACCCCATCCACGGGAAGGTGATCCAGGGTGCGCCCACCATCCGCGGGGACCCCGAGTGCCACCTCTTCTACACAGCCCATGAGCAGGAGGACCGGGGAGCACATGCCCTGCGGAGCCAGTAGACAGACATGATCCTGCTGGCTGATGGTGGCTCACTGTGGCCCCAGTGCTGGATTTTACATGGGTTTCAGCGTGTCTCTTTAGGCTCTGGAAGAGACTGGGGTTGGGTCCTGCGTGCTGCCCTCCTTCCTCAGCTGCCTGATTCCTGGGGAGGGGAGGGATTACGGGAGGGGAAAGGCGGTGGGGGGTTTGCAAGGAGAAGGGACTGCTTTCTTAGTCTTTCACCCAACATAAACCAGAGAACCGGTCTTTTTTGCTCCTCGCCCTGCAGCCCTGCTGTCCCTGCTGCTTCGCGGCATTTTCCTCTACCCTCCAGCACAGAGTGCCATGTGCTCCCTGACCCCTCCCAGGGGGAAAAACCCCTTGCCATGGGTGGGAGTGGGTAAAAAAAACAAAAGAAAAAGCCAAGCCTTTTCCCCTCTTTTTCTCCTTTCCCCAATACCAAAGACTGTAAATACTGTCATCTGCCTCTTGTGTCCTGTTGGTCCCCTGTGCCTCAGCCCAGCCATCTGTCCTGGCATGGGATGTGCTGTGGGAACATACCACTGCAGCTGGGATGTGTTCCCTAAGGAAGCATCGGTGAGGGAAAGGGCTGAAGATAAGACAGCTGCTCGCCCCACCCCTTAAAAACACTCCTGGGTGCTTCCTTTCGTGGTGCTGGGGCACAGCCAACTCCACAGGGACCTGGCTTCAGCCACTGGTCCAAGAGCATGGGGCCTTTAGGTGACGACAAAGCTAAATGCTTGTTTTTCAAGGGGATTTGAAAGGCTTTTGCTGAGTATTTCTTAGGATCAGCTTATACCGAGGGAGCTAAAATGAACTTGCTGAGGCTGGGTGGAAGGATGCCCGTGTAGATTTAGGATAACAAGCCAGGGAATGTCTCTCTCTTTCTCTCATTCATTTTTTCTTTGTTTCTAGATAGAAAAAAAAACAAAACACATCTAAAACTTGTGCTCCCAAGCAGCTGCCCTTGTCCCTTCATTTTTGCTTGGGACTGGAGTGAGCAACTGCTATTCAGCACATAACTTTTTCTTTTTGTAAGTAAATTACAGTATATATCTTGCTTCATAAAGGCCCTGACACACACACACACACTCCTCTGCCCATATACACATTTGTATTGATGAAATCCAAGTGATTCCAGGTGCTCTGAGAGATTTTGCGCTGGACATGCTGTTCTGAGGAGAGATGTGTCTCTGCTGTTAATTCACCTGTTGATTTCTTTCTGTACAGAACACACCGATGCTGAGAATAAATAACTTCCCCATTGCCTAAGCAAGGAGATTTTATTATTTTCTTCCTTTTCTTTTTTTTTTCCTTTTTTTTAAAATATGGATACCCTTTGTAGAGCAATTGCAAAAACCCTCTCCTAAAAGTATTGGGCTTTCTTTAAATGGTTTGTTGCTTTTTGCCCTGCTTCTTGGGCCCACATTTCAGATCCCAAGTGTGAAGGGCACAGGTGGGCTCTGTAACTTAAAGCCTTTGTGACTTTTTAGAGGTTTGGATATGGCAGTGGAGGAGACAGGGGAAGGACCCCCTTTGGAAAGTCAGGGGTGGGCATATGTGGATGTCTACAAACGGGAGCACTAGAGAAGAAGACAACACACCTCCACGCGAAACCAAGTAACTGTAAAACTGATGCTGTTTTCTGTTAACATCTGAGGGTGTTCTGCTTTTTCATATAAACCTTGCACATGCTGGCTCTCATCTACAGTTTGTACTTTCTGTTTTGTTTGGGAATAGGGAAGTTTTCTTATGTGTTTGTCTTTTTCTCTTTTGGAAAAGCTGAGCTGCATAAAGTTGGAATAAATTAAATGGGATGCCAGAAAACTGTCATCTTCCCCCTCCCCACTGTTCACAGGACATTTCCTTGCCTGATGCATCACACGTAAATTTGGCCCTGTTCATCCTTTGCCCACGTGGTCTTGCAAACACCAGGCCTGACAGGCAGCAATGGGAGTCAGGCTTTACATTGTTATTGTCCCAAGTTGTGTCAGCAGGGAGAAACTGGTGTCACTCATCCTTTGGCCCGCTGTGTTCCTGCTATACACGTGGGACCTTGTGAATCTACAAAATGCAACTGGGCCCTTGAGTCAGCATCTGGCCAGTATTTGTGTGGAGACTGTCTCCCTACCTGACAGCAGCTAGATTTGGTGGAGAAAGGTGGTTGGGTTCCACTTTGCTGGGTGGAGAGGATGGTAGTGTGAATGTCCTACCCAGTGTGATGTTCATGGAGCTTCCTGAACTGCTGCGTGGCTATGTGAGAGTGGTGATTTCCTGCTCCTTGAGCAGGGAAGCAGCTTTCCAAGGCAAGGTCCCTCCTACCCAGTGCAGGGACCTTGGCAGATGCTTGGGCAAAGGCTGTAAGGACAACTCCTGTGTTGTGTCTCTGCTCTCTCCAGCTTCCCAGCCTTGGTATTTCAGGGGCTTCTGGAGCTGATAGTTGCATCCACTCATGCTGTTCCTGAGCTGGCAGATGGGCCTGTCCTCCATGAATCATCCAGGCTCCTTTAGGTATCTTGCAATGGTTTTGGTCTCCACTACACACCATGGAAAGAGTTCCTTAGCTGAGCAGGATGATTCAGAGAGAAAGCGTGTGTGGTTTCCATGCAGGACACTCCCAAGGACTCTCCCCTTTGCTGGCACAAGGAGAGCAAAATCTGAGCTGGCCAGAAAGCTAACTGTAATGTTTCCAAGTGAAGCCTTTTTGCAGAACAGTCTGCTGGGAAAGTGCAGGGAGGTTTGAGCTGTGTGTGGGACCAGAGTTTGACTGAGCTGCTTCACCCAAGGGGCTATGGAGACAGGTCCCTTGAAGGTCCTGCACCTTCTCCCAGGGTGAGAAGTGCTGCCAAAGGGAGTGTGACAGCACACCTTGGTGCTTGGGGCGCCACAGGGAGGCAAAGAATAACTAATAATAATAATAAAACTCCACACTACATTCAATTGAAATTTCAGCATTGAAGGAGAGGCCCCATGTTGGCCCTGACATCCAGCGTCCAGGTGGCTGTGGTTTCCCTTTGGCCTCCCCAAAGGGAGGCAAAACTACTGGGTTGCTTCCCCTTCTGTTTATTTTCTACCCCCTGCCAGGAGTTTGAGTGGGACTGACACATGCTGAGAGGCGGGGCAGTGGCTGGGGAAAACCAGGAAAATGCCTGGGAACAGTAGGCTTGCAGGGGAGGGAAAGAGAACAGGCAGAATACGGGGGTAGCTGAAGGTGATGCTGGCGGTGGGGGGATGCCAAGTGCACTGTGGGGCACAAGGGAGCTCCAGGCCAGGTGCTGCCCAGTGAGGGCTGAATGTGACAGAGATGCCTGAGCCCAGCCATGCCGGGGGCCACCCTCCAGTTCAGGGGCTGGAGGTGAACAAACAGGAGCCCACAACCCAGCGAAGGGAGCTCGCAACTGGCCAGGCACCTTACAGAGGGGGACGGCAGTAAAGCAAGAGGAGTAAAAAGCTTCTGGTTAGGCTTCCCTAGGGTTGTGATATGACCTTAATGTCTGCATATGTGTGTGCATGGGTTTGATGGTTGTCACTGCTTTGGGGTTTCATCCGGGCCAGATTTGTGCCATCCGCATGGTGGGGCACGAGGTCAGGAATTGGGACCGTGCCAGCTTCACGCAGGCTTCTAGCCAAAACCCCAGCAGCTGTGGTGTATGCACACAGAGGTATCTACACTGGCAAGTGACAATTTTAATAGAGTGGTTTGGGCTGTAAGGGACCTTAAAGATCCGTAGAGTTCCAGTCCCCCTCCCACCAGCCCAGGGTGTGCGAATGCTGCGGGCAGTGGCGCTGCCCCTTGGCGGCTCCTGCCCCGTGGGGTGCAGGCTCAGCTTTGTGGGGTGTCCATCGGGGACGGGGGGCTGTGCCAGCCCCAGTTGGCGCAGATAGAGTGGGAGATGCGCGTTAGCACAGCCCTGACAACCCCAGGTCTCGCCAGTGCAGTGGCAAAGGGGATGTTTTTGCCTCCCACCCTGCCCTGGGCACATGGGGATGATGCTGGGCAGTTCAATGGAGGGGAAGAAGGCACAGGAGGAGAGAGATGAGGGGACGAGTGGGAGAATGAAATGTGATGGCTGTGTGGGCAGTGAGGGAGGGTCAGATCTGGCACTGAGGAGGGCACGGGGCAGTAGGAAGAGCCACCAAGGGCTACCACAAGGTGATAACTATAGCCTGGCTGGGCTGGGCTGCCCCAGGGATGCTCCTGCATGCTGGGACAATGGGACAAATCTTCCAGTGGCCCTGCGAGGTCTGAGGCTCAAACACTGCATCTGATTCCAAGCTGTGGGGCTCAGTTTGCGATAGCATTTAGGAACTTAACATCACTGATTGCCAGGTACTTTCTCCTGGTAAGCCTGCTGAATCTGCATGCTGTACCACACTGCCACATCAATGTGACGAAAATTCTAAAAAAAATAAGGTAGCTCTGCTTTTAGGATGCTCTAAACTCAAACGTGCAATTTTGCTGCTCATCTCTCAGACTGCTCTGGTATCAAAAGCTCTTCTAAACCACTGTGTCCATTTTACTCCATGCCCTGTACCTCCCCAGGCACCCTCATGGAGCTGGATGAGCCCCCTCAAATGACCCAACACCACCCGCTGTGGAATGCTCAGGGCTGGAACAGCTCACTGGCAGGCCTCAGCACACAGGATGCTCCACGAGGGTCAGGCAGAAGCTAACTGAATGCATAACTTTATTAAATAAATGCTTTGTCATGAGAAAAGACAAAGATCAAAGAGTAACATAAATTATAAGTTGAATAAATAGTATACAGCAATCTTCACTTTTTAATAAAATGTGAGATTTTTTTTTTTTAAGTACAAAATGCTAAACAGAGCATTAAGCTCTTCTTCCATTGTCAGTTTTTCACAAACTGCTTTTTTTTTTTTCCCACCAGTAAGATTATGAGTATTTCTTGTTTACTGGAAAAAAACCAAAACAACAAAAACAAAACAAAAACGAAACAACAGAGCTACCGTATGTATGTAAAGCTATAAAAAGCTACCGTAAAATGTGTAGTGAGTATTGCTTAAAGATAAAAACCAGGCAGGAAACTCGGAATCTGGTGTGTTTTTAACAACTGTGTTACAACGGTGGGTAACGTGCACGGTGACGTCTGTCCCGGCGGCAGTGGCAGGGGGCTGGTGGGGCTGGGGAGAGGGGCACAGTAGGCAGGGCTCCTAGCCAGGGCCAGGACAGGGGTCTGGAAGCGAGGTGAACTGTTGGTCGTTAAATATACAATGCTCCATTTGGGGGATGGCGGGGGGGGCGGGGGCAGAAATCAACAACAACAAAAAAAACCCCAAACCAACAGCAAAGAAGTTTCCATGGGGAAGGTGGAGAAAAAGGGAAGGGGGGAGAGAGCGGAGAAATAGTGCAAAATGCTCTTGTACTAGTGGTTTTCGAAGTCCACTGCAGTACAGACAAGGGGTAGCCCAGCCGCTGAGCGCCGCTCCCTGGGCAGATGTGGTGGAAGGGCTGTCCTGACCCCTGCGCCATCCTTGTCCTCTCCTTCCCAGCTTGCATCCTAGATACTGGCATGGGCTCAGCTCAGATACTGTAGCTGGAGACCCCTGAGCCTCACACCTCCCCCGATGCACGAATTGCCAACATCTCCCCATGTGCCTCAACCCCCCACATTCCCCAGCTCCCAAATCCACCCCTTTTGGTTTTCTCACCCTAAATGCAAAGGGGTGCTGCTGGGTGCTGAAAATGGGAGCACTTCGTCACTGCCAACCCAGGGGGTGACCAACCCCTCCTGAAGTCACATCCCCAGCCTGACCCGAACTCCAACCCCAGTCCTAAATATTAGTGCAGCCTACAAACAGCCTCGTCCTGCTGGGGATCCTTGAGGGAGCGGGCAGCCAGGGGAGTCACTTGGTGCCCCATCCCAGGAGCCAAGGTGATGTGGGGAGGTAGGGGTGGTGCAGCCCAGACTTCCATCCTCCTCCCTACAGGTTGGTGGGGACAGTACAGGCAGTGCTGTCCCAGCATGGGATGCACAGTGGTGAGGGAGGCTATGTGGGATGGATTTTGGTGCTCTGGGCTCCTGGAGCCATGTAGACTTGCTTTGCAGGGAGAGGTCGGGGAATCATCCTGCGTCCCCCTCCTAGTGCCATTGTAGTGGCCTTGTCATGACACCACCACAAGGCCCTGTGAGCTGACCCTCGCCCTGCAAAAGCATCCTCCCCAAAAGACAAGGCCCATGGGGAGCCGCAGCCCTCTGCCTGTTCCCATCCCACCCTGGCGGCACGTTTCCTTTCTCTGCAGCCAAAGGCTTTCAAGTTTTGGGAAATTAAACAACAAAAGAAACAAACAAAAAAGCAAGAAAGAGGAAGAGAGAAGGAAGGGCCCCGGGAAGGTGGTACTGGCCTGTAACAGTCAGGAGGTTTTGCACGGGGATCAGCAAGCGGACAGGGGCCCTTGTGGTTGGCACAAGCTCCTCCTCCTCCTCCTGTCTTCACCCCACTTTCACCCCACCATTAACCCACCATCCTGGTTAAATCAACCTTGCTCCATCAGCCTTGCAGAGCCCAGAGAGGTCCCTCCCGCCCTTGGCCACAACACCCGCCATTCTCCCCTTCAGCAACACGGCGGTTACCCCGCTCCAGCAGGCTTTTCTGGGGGGCAGATCTGCATTTGGTGACACACTTTGTTCTTTTCAACAAGGGAAGGTCCTTTGTCCCCAGGTCCAAACATGGTCTGCTGGGTCTCCATGGAAGTCCATCGGCAAAGTTCTCCCCTGCTGTAACTTTGAGGGAAATAACCGCAGGTGTCCAGTTCTGCCCTTGACTGGGGCAAGTGTCCTGATGGGGGGCCCAGGGGCTGCTCAGGGGAGTGATGCCATGTCATGGGAGGCTATGAGGCCTCCCAACCTGTGATGGTGAGAAGCCTTCACCAGAGCCTCTCGACACTGAATCCCTCTTGTCCATCCCCGCTGGTGGGAACTCAGTGGTGCTGTGGACCTCCTTTTTTCTCTGCCAAGGTTCGGGAAGCTCAAAGGGGCTTTGGGGGTGCAGGAACTGTCCCCCTGAGATTAGTTGTGTCCTTTGGCCAGATCCAGCTGTGGCAGTGGGAAGTGGTTCCTGGTGGGTGTGTGTTTGCCCACTGGGACCACAGCACCCACACCCCACCGCTCCCTTTCCTTTCCTTCCTTCCCTTCGCTGCAGGATCTCCTCCCAGCACCAGCATCGTGGAGACCCTTGTCATGGAGAAGCAAGAGGCAACAGTCCCAAAATCGAACGTAAAAGTTAAAAACACCAAATAAGTCAGGAAGGCAGACGAGGGTTGTCCCACCATGCCTGAGGCAGTGGGTCTCCGTGGTGTGGTGGCTGCTGTCACTCAACAAGGAGCTGGGTCCCAGATTAAAGGCCATCATAGGATCTTACTGCAGGATGGTGGGAATCAGCTGTGGCAACATGAGCAGTATCCTCAAAGTGAAAGGATATAGGCTGGCATTTTCCTACCCACAGGGAAAGCTATAAACTAGCCTTAACAAAAAACCATGATCAAACAAAGTAGAGGTTTGGTTGTTTTTTTCCCCTGGAGCAAACCACGTTTCTGGCTGTGGAAAAAAAAGTCTCCATAGCTGGTCATCTTTGTGGTGGCAAAGTGTGGTGAGGAGTTTTAGCCCTGATCTCCCTGTCCTCATGTAGGGATACTTCAGTCTGGACAGTGACAGAGTAACAGCAGGGTCAGCTAGGATGCAGCCCTCAGTGTTCATGGGGCCCTGATCCCACAGGCACTGATGCTCCTCTGTAACTCTGCTCCTGTGCTTAGTCCAGCAGGTTATTATCAGTTTTTGGGAGGGGCAGCATTTCTCCCCCTGATTACATATTACACTGAAACCTCGAGATTGCAGGTTTCAAGGTGAAGTTTTGCAAGGAGGAAAAGCCATGTCAATGCATACACACACACTCGTACACATGCACGCAGGTGACAAATGCTTCCACACCTAGATGGACAACAGTCAGAGTCCTGCTTGTCCAAAATGATTTCTGACCTTCTGTTCAAGAAGAACTGGACAGAGAAGAATATATTTCCTTTTTGGATGATTTTTTTTGAAGTCCACAAATACTTTTTGGGGGTATTTGTGCCGTTGCAGGATGTGTGTTTCCCACCCCAGCTCATCTCCAGACACAAAGCCAGCAATCTCACGCCTCCCCCTGATGTGTTGAAATCTGTCTGGATCGGGGGCAGTCATTTGAGACAGAAATCAAATTGACTTGAGTGAATCCCAGCAGTGTGGAGAGGACACTCCGGAGGACTGCAAGGGGAGTGCTGGTGGCCGCAAGGTTTTCTCTCAAGACCCTTTAGAAATCAACTAGCTAACACGAAAAAAAAAATAAAAATTAAAAATGAACCTGCCCAAAACCCATACTGGAAATTCCCCAACTCGGAGAGCTTCCTACATCAGGGTGACCTCTGCTTGTGGCAGAGGGTCACAGGCAGCATTAGGGAGAGGTGAGGAACGGCAGAGAGGCTGTGGCTGGTTTGTCTCTGGCTCTATCCTTTCCTTACTGAGTCCTTGTCAAGAGGCTGCAATAGATTCCGAGTCCTCAGTTTCTTCAGGGTTTTCTTTTATCTTTTCTTTTCTCTCCTCTTTTTCTTTTCTTTTCTTTCTTTTCTTTTCTTTTCTTTTCTTTTCTTTTCTTTTCTTTTCTCTCCTCTTTTCTTTTCTTTTCTTTTCTTTTCTTTTCTTTTCTTTTCTTTTCTTTTCTTTTCTTTTCTTTTCTTTTCTTTTCTTTTCTTTTCTTTTCTTTTCTTTTCTTTTCTTTTCTTTTCTTTTTTTCTTCTCTTCTCTTTTTCCTTTTCGGTTTTCTTTTCCTTTTCTTTTTTCTTCTTTTCTTTTTACTTTCTTTTCTCTCTTTTTGTTTTTCCTTTCTTTACTTCTTTCTTTCTTTCCCTTTCTCTTTTTTTCGTTTTCCTTTCTTTCTCTTTTTTCTTTTCCTTTCTTTTTTTCTTCTTACATGAGATGAAAGGAATCGGAGTCCTGGGGCGTGGGGAGGTGCAGAGGGGAGGGTGGAAGGGAGCCTGGGTAGGTAGTGATGGGGTGGAGGGAGGGGATGCGACTTCACTCCACATTGCTGCTGTCGAAGGCATGGCACTGAAGGTCTCCGCTCAGGTAGTCAGTCCCCGGCAGCTTCATGCCGTATTTGTCCACACACCAACACAACCCACGCTTCCGGCCTCGGGAGGGCTTGCACTGGGGAGACACCCAAGGGCAGAGATCAGGAGCTGGCTCCCTCACGCCGGGGATCAGGATATCAACCCTGGCCTTGCCCCTTTAACCCCAGCGATGAAATCCCCTGGGTAGGATCTAATCCCTGCTCTCTGCTTTCAGCCCATCTCTGCTGCTACCCCAGCCCAGGGTTCTCTGACTTTTCCTCCTCCCTCACCAGCTCCTTCAGGATGCTTACTTCAGGCCAGATGGCACTTGGAGCCATCAGCAAGGCCACCCACCACCAAACATGCCTGGCGATGCTTACAGCAACATCCCCACCAACTCAGCAGAGGAAAAACCTCCATCCCTCCCATCCGGGGCAGCGGCAGAGAAAAGCCTTGCTGGGTGGGGAGCATCCCTCCTTTGTGGGGCTCTTACCTGCTTCCTCTTGTAGAAGCCCTTGCGGTCGCAGTTGGGGAGGTGGACAGCACGGGGGACCATCCGCTGGCTGCTCTTCAGCTCCTGCAGGGATGCCTCCATGTGCCTGCGGCAGGGGCCCTGCAAGCAGGAGAAGATGGAGTGTGAGAAGAGGAGCATGCTCACAACAAGCCTCCAGCTGCAAAAGCCCCCAAGTCCCCTCTTCCCTGCCACTGGCACCAGCTGCCCAGGGGTAAAAGCCATTCTGCAGTCACCTGCCCATGGGAGCCCCGTGGAGGGAAGGTGAAGGCACCCACCAGCTCAAACTCTTGCCGGAGCTCGGGGATGACGACACGTGGGTGCGCTGTGTTCTCGGCCATGCCTACAAACTTGGCCAGGGTCAGCTTCTTCCGGCGGTCCTTCTTCAGGGCTTCAGCTTTGAGCTCAGAGAGGCGCCCATGCTTGGGCCGGTAGGCCTTGGGCGGGTAAGTCTCCTCTGTCATCTCCGATGTGGTTGGCTCCTCATGCTCTCGGGACTCTCGTTCTGGAAGAGAAGAGGTACCAAACTGTCAGGTCTCCATGGGCTGCGTGGGGCTTGCTTTTGCACGGAGAGCCTCCTGCCCAACCCCAGAGGGCATCTTTGCACCAAGCAGGCAGGATGAGAACAAATAACCAAAGAAATACCTTTCCCTGCCTACAAGTCTGGCTTTATCCCACTGTGTGGGACTTTGCAAGACTTTTACGTGACCTCTGAACTCAGGACAGGAAGGTGTCATAGGACATGGAGGAGCTGGAGGTCTAGGATGGACTTCTACATACAAGGGCTGTTACCGTTTGTGTGTCACTGGAAAAAGACGCGTGAGGGTCATCCCACACCCAGAAAGGGCTAGATGACACACAAATGAGGCAGAGAAGCCCCTCTTTATCCATGATGAGAGGATTAAGTGACAAATTTACACTCCACCCTGCCTTTCAGATGCCAGAGCAAAAGCCAGGAATGCTCGAAGATGAGACAACTCCAAAGTCAAGGTCAACAACACAGCAAAGCCACCAGGCGACAGGGCAGGTACTTCAGCAGTGATACCAAAGATGCAGCTGACAAGTGCTGGGATCTCCAGAGTCATCAGCTCACTGTCCCACACTCATGGGAAACCAGCCTCCATCTGATGGCATACACCAGTCAGAGAGCAAAGCCAAGGACAATGCTGCCAAATGATTCTGCCTGACCGTAGCTGCCACTGATAGTAATAATAGTAAAGGGGGAGCATGTTTAGGTTCTGTCCACAGCAGTTGTCTTCCTGTAGACCCCCCCAGATCACCTCAGTGTAACCTCTGCCAGCAGGATACAGTCAGGAGCCCCATGCAGTTTATATTTAGGAGCAAGCTGGTGACAGTCTAAACTTAGATGACTTGTGACATTTAGTACAGCCACCAGAGTGAAAAAGGGCTATTTCTGTACTAAATTTGAATAGAGTTTAAAGCTCCTGAGGTTCCCAGTCTCCTGACCCCTGGTTCCCAGCAGTCCAGTGCTGATGCCAAGTCTCTGCTGAGACCAACGAGTGACCATGAGGAAACTCACTGCAGCAGAAGGAAAAGCATCAGAGTTGCTGAAATCCCTTCATGAACAGCATCTCCTGCAACTTTGATGCCAGTGAACCCAGCTCATCCCCTCCTACAAGACAGAAAGAGGCTTAGGATTAAAATAAAAGCAGTTTGAACCCCCCCCAACCAGGCAAACAGGAATCTCCTTGCAGATTGACTGCTCCCTTGAGCCCAGATGCAGCTCCAAAGGGGAGGAGGACAAAGAGGATGCCTCTGCCCAATTAGATTATCCAAGGGTGGCCAGTGAGGGGGACAGAGGAGATGCTCAGCAGCAGATGGCAGCACCAGCCTGTCTCACACGCCCCAGATGGGGCGTTTGGAGGTGACGGAGGGGAAAGGTCGCTGTGTCCCCAAGCCTGCCACAGATACCAGTCTCCTATTCTTCCTTGCCAAAGTGAACTTGCACTCTTCCATCAAAACCTGGAAAGTTTTTCATGGCCACTTATTCATTAAAACAGTCCTTTTTTTTTCTGTTTCCACAAGAACAGTGCTGGATCAGTATCCCAGACTCAGCACCCTCCTAACTGCCCACAGCAACATAAGTGACCCCCTGCACCATCCCTGGGACTCACATGGCTCCCCAGCATGAGATTACTTTGCCATTTTTCCCCATGGTGCTCATATGCTTGGTGTTTTATTCCTTGTTGCAGGACTCAACTGCTTCCACAGGTCAGAGCTCCTTTATTCTAAGAGGGTGACAGATAAGGGATAGGGAAGAGATTGAGTAAATTTGGAATGACCCCCCAGGAAATGAAACTGTACGAGGTGCAGTTGAAGTGCATCCATTGCCTCAAAGATATTGTGGCAACTCGAGGTCCAAAAGAAGACCAAAGACATCCACAGTGACTAAGTCCTTCCACGGCAGTGAAACACACCATGTTCCATCCTAGGAATCCCCTCTGGCACCCACTGCCAGGGCTGGAGAAGGCAAAGCCAGATCATCTCCCTGGGCTGCGCTAAGATAATAAGGGGAGGGGAGGTTTCACATTGGTGCTGGCAACCCTGAAGTAACACAAGAGGAGCACAGCTTGTTACCTCTGCAAATAAATGAGGAACAGCTACCCCTAGCAAATAAAAACAAATAACAAATGAAGGGTACTATGTAGTGAGAATTCAGCCAGAAAAACAGTATGGGGTGTCCAGTCCCCAGGACTCACTCTGAAATGGGTGTTTGCAGCAGCTCAGCCTGCTCATCTGGTCAGGAGCTTTAGCAACAAACAAAATAAGGTAAAGGTGTAAACACCTTCTTTCTCCTCTCCCTACAAGCTGTCAGCAAGCCAGAGCGAGTTGTGGAGCCCTCTCAGCAAGGGGAGATGGGAGCCACAGGAGCTCTGCAAGGGAACTGAGGACTGGTGTGCACTGAAAGCTGCCCAGCTCCCAGCCCGAGTCCAGTGCTTCCTGCGGGGCTGAAAAAGCACCTGGAACTGACCCCCTTCACTCTCTGTGGCATGCACTTGTGCCCCTCAAGCTGTGATATGACAAGGGATGGCTGTGGTGGGACTCCTCCATCTGTCATTCAGCAGTGGTGTCTAGTTTGGGTCTTTATATCCTAGTGAGAACCCCATATATGCCTTGAAGGGATCCCTTTCCTCCACCCTCTAATGTTTTTTATAGCCTAATTTCCTTCAGCAACAAGGCTGACGTAGCCTCTTCTCATGCACTCGATGATCTGTTCCCTAATTTGATACTAACAAGCCAGTTTTGACAAACTGATGGGCACAGGTCTCTGACACAGAAACTCCTGACAAGCTCTAGGCAGCTGGCGAGAGACCTTCCTGGTGCCAAGAGGAGAGGGAAAGGCAGAGCCAGGACATCCATCACCCATGCAACTCCCCTGCTTCTCTTCCTGGCTGGCCCATCCACCTCAACCTGCAGCTGCCCACTGCAGCCAGGACCAGACACTCACGTCAGCATCTCCAGAGCTCCTGCCTCCGCCTGCCCATCCTCACCCACCAGCTCATTAACTGACCTCTGACTGCCCCAGGGCTGGCTCGTGGCAGGCAGCATTGGCACCGCTGTGCCTCTGTGCCTGAGGAGATGCTGGCAGGAGCAACACCCAGTTTGCCCAAATGAGCCCTACTTGTGTCTGTCTGGGACTCAGGAAGGAGGCTGGAGTTCCTCCTCCCTTGCTGTCAGGTTCTGGCCTGCCACACAACCCCTTCCCGCCTACTCCCATCTGCCTTGCCAGCCTGTGGCTGGATTTCAGGCAGGCAGCTGTCTGCAGAGGCAGAACACACTGCACAGCTGTGGGCACAAGGCACAGGCAGCAAGACCCTACTCGTGGTGTCCCCAGATGAGTGACAGTGGGAATCAGGAGGTGGGTGGCTCACGTGTTTCCATCCCTTCTCCCTACAACTCAGTAGAAGGTCACCTCTCAGCAGAGGTCCCAGGCTCTCTGGCCACACAGAAGAGAGACATTGCTGGCCAAGCCGAGGATGCCTGGCTACCGTGGAGGTGACAGCTACGCTGCAGCCACCTACCCCTACAGCCAAGGCATGAGACTGAATTCAACTCTGAGCTACCCCACAGCTTCACGTCTGGTCTGATGCTGTGGTGCCCAGGGAAAGAGATGCAAGCATCTGGAAAGGCTCCTGACCCTGGCCACGCCAAAATGACTGTGCTGTTGACATCCTAATCCATGAGTTCTGGCAGGCAGAAAATACCCATAACAGAGCACGTGGGCTGTCCTCTGCCCTGGGCCGAGGGCATGGTGTTTTCTCCCCACTCCAGGCTAGCCAGAGAGAGCTATTTGCAACTCTTCTACTCTGCCCTCCAGAAGGGACAGGGAGTAGCAAAATACCAGGCACTGTTTCTCGGAAGCCACAAATTACTCCTGTCTGGCTGCCTGCTGTTGCCTCCAGATACCACCCAGAGCAGACTACCCACTGTCCTGCCCCTGGACAAAAACCCAGCCTGGGTGCTTCTGGGCTTCAGATACTTTGGACCCATGTGAGGTCCCCGTAAGGCAGTGGGTGCATTCACATGGGGGAGCGGAGTGTGTGGGAACACTGCCTTCCTGCCTGCTGATGTTACAGAGTGGAGCAGGAAGCTTTTACCAAATGGCTGGGAGGTTCGAATTTTTGTAACACATTTTCATCAGTTTCTGGCAGAAGGGTAGGAAAAAGATCTATTGACCACTGCTGCTAATGATCCTTGCTCATCACAGCCACAGGCCACTGCTAGAGGACTTGCTGTCCTGTTCAACACCAAAATCCACATCCACCTAAGAAGGATATGCACAACCACAGTACAGCTTTGCTAAACAGCCTTATTGATTATTATCATGATCGTTATTATTTACAGCATAGGCACTAACATACACCACTTAATAAGGAAGGTGTTAGAGAAAGACTTAATGGGGATCTCAGTTAAATTTCTAGCATAGGGATGACACAAATGTCAGTGGTGGAGACCTTGAGAAGTTGCCCAGTCCTCCATTTGCCCCCAAACAGCCATCTCTATTCAGAGGCTGATTGCATATGGGTCTTATACAGGAAATCTGTGCTCAGGTACCTGGCTGGTAAAAGCCCTCACTGAGTCTTTCCCCCAGCTGCCCTCCCCATTTGTCCCCACTCCAGAGCAAGGGACACACTTGACCTACACCAGAACTTCCTGGGATAGGCAGGCAAGTTCCTACTTGTCCTGGACTTGCACCTGTGACCATGAGGGGAAGATAAAAATTCCTCCTTCGTGGTCAGCACAGAAGGACAGCCACTGTGTTTACATTCTCAAAATGTAGTCAGGGAAGGGATAATGCAGGCAGGGAAGGGATAATGCAGGCAGGGAAGGGATAATGCAGACAGGGAAGAGATGCAAAGCAAGGAGTGTCATCTCATCTCGAGCCCTTTGGCAACTGGAAAGCACATCCAAGCAAAAGCATTCCTGAACTCCCCAGAGGCCACCAGAGCCAGCCCAGGCAAAAGGGAGCTTTCACCCACCTAA